AGACAACTGATGGCAATTTTAGAAGATATATTTCTCTTTTTTTTCTTTAAATCCTTTTAGATCCAATTACTAGTGGTTATTAAGAAAAATGGCCATGAACAGAATTAGAATTACTATGAAGAATTATTTTAGAAATCTCACAATATCAACCTATTTATCAATTTCTGTTGTGATAATTGAGCTATGGGTCTGACAATAATTTCTCAGATAGCTCCTCTTTGTATACGGTGTGAAAATAACCCTTAATTGTAGAACATGACAAACATTCTTCCCTRAATGGACGAGAAACTCAATTTCCTTAAGCAAAGGAAGTTACCAATATAGGGGGAGGGGAGTTCTCTTTGTTCTATGACCCTATAAATAGCATATCATGGCTCATGTCGAAACCCAGCTGAGTTAAACTAAAGGATTTGTATGAATTTATGAATTATATTTTCCATTAATGAAAAATATCTTTGCATGTAAGTAACATAAAAGGAACATYAGTCTCACAGATAATCCATCAGCCCATGTGGAAGGAAAGTGCTGAAGAATCCTGTTTTTGTTAGAGGTTCACTTCAAGCATATATGACMGGGTATTTTTTCATTATCTGGAGCCTAATTCTGTAATAGTGTCCCAAAAATTATGTACAAAGCTCAGATGCTGTTGTACTTTTTTTACTGCCTAATATATTAATTATTAATTGTTAAATTTTATTGGATTAGGGTTTCACAGGATATTGACTATCAAATGACATAATCTGATACTGTTGGCCAAGAGTTCCAGAGTGCTAATTTTGTGTGCCACTAATATAATTATAATTTTGAGCTAATTCCCTATACTTAATTTGGGATGCTTTAGCTTATGCTGAGCAACATTTCTACCTATTGAATAGACCTGTTGATCTCCATAAATATAAATTGAGTATAGAAGTACTGGAAGTAAATAGTGACAGGATTCAGCCTGCACTCCCCCTCTTTGAGTCTTATAAGGTGCTGGTAGGTAGTCTTGTGCAAAGGAACAGAACAAGAATTTTTTAAAAAACCTATAAAGTTCTCTTTCTTTCTTATTTTTTTTAACTGCTAAAGCTGAAGATTATATATCCTCAGTTTAAAAATGGCTTCTTATTACCTAGTTTGTAGAACCATGGTCTCATGTAGACAGAAATTTARGGCCTGAAATGGTCAGTAGAAAATCTGAGATTTGATAATATATATGCTAAAAAAATGGTGTTAGTGATGACATTGCAGGTGATTTTCAACTTTAACCSAAAATATTTAAGTTTTGATAATTTCAGAAGTCAGACTGCTCAATTCTTGTCATTAGCTAGCAGATTAGTTCAAATAATCTTGCARTCTGTAGGTTGTGTGGTTCATTAACAGAGTCCTAAAGAGATGACCTAATTTTTCAAATAGAAATGTCTATTTGGCATTAACTGAACCTGGAAGTGCTCATAACTTTGGAAAAACAGGTCACATAGCAATTTCATGTGCACTCAGGAGATTGATTCTAGACTCTTGGTCTTTTAAATATTCATTGTGCTAGTCTTAATACATAGATGCCCAGGGAATGATGTATGCATTGCAGTGAAAAATGCAGCAAACATATAAATTAGTAAGTACTGAACAGATGAAGTCCATTTCTGAAAAACAAAGTGATCTGCACAGCTGCSTGGACAGGTGTCCTTCAGGAAAAACAGAATGGGTTAGCAAAGGAAAAAAAATGCAGGTTTTGACAGTTGTSATTTGTTTCTCTTGTCTGGCTAATGTTCTTGAGTGGAATCTGTTGAAGGAGCAATTGACCTACAGAAAGAAGACATAAATTGACAGTTATATACACAAAAGCCCAGATAAGAGCCCAACAGCTTTTATCTCTATGTGGCTTAAACATTTCCAAAGTGGAAATTAAAAATAGCAGTCCATTCACATCTAATAGTACTTCAGACTGATACAATACTATTTTGCATAAATATTTGCTAATTAATTAAAAAACATACAGTAGGTATTAACCATGGGTAATAATGCTTTGCCTGTTTCTCAAAAATGCTTTGGATATTAATTATATTCTCAAAACCACTTGGAAGCTATTAAGTACTAAGCATTATTATTGTGAATTGGGTTCATTTAATATGTAAAACTGCTAGAGTTGCATAAGTCTTCTAACATGWTATGAATATTTCAGCAATGTTCATGATTGATGTACTCTGAATCAACAGTCAATTCAAAACATATTTATTTGTAAGCATATAGACTGTAATTTGTCATGTCTTCTGGCTGGGGAGGAGGAGAACTTGAACTGACCTCAGACCTCTTGGCAGACCTTCTAAGCTTTTTTCACTGAGATTCCTCTCAGTCTTATTTTCAAATGCAACACTTTTTCTCTTGCCATGCAGTACACTGTAAATGTAAATGATCATAGCAGAATACTGCATTTTACATCAAATTTTGATCCTTCCTCTCATTTTTTTATGTTTCAGTAGACTTCAGTGGGATGTCAGAATATCAATAAATGTTTTTTGGAGAATAAGGCTGTGTGACTCCAAAGAAATGTTAGTCATCTATGAAAAAGCTTCTGCGAAGCAGTAATTTGAATTTATAACATGAAAAATAATTTGAAAATTATTCTATATATATAAAGCAARAACACAATAATTGCGCAGAACCTTATAAAAACAAGCTGTACTGCCAGGTGTATGTAAGCAGGCTACCAGCTATTCATACTGTCAAGAGGTAAAAGAATTTCTCTTACAGACTCAATGTTAGCAACAGGAAATGTCAGAAGGTGTGAAAAGTCTGGGGTTTTAATCAATCAAAATATGACTTTGAGTTATAACCTTGTCATGTGGCTAAGAAAAAAGGAAAATCTAATCATAGACCATATCAGGCAATGCACTACCACTAGTATATTGCTGAACTCTCATCCAGAATACCTCATGTATCTTGTCAGCCTTATTCCAGAGAGATTAATTCTCACCAGAGCAGATGTGTGAAAAGGAGAATTAACATAACCAACACATGGCAGTTCTACCTYGAGACAGGAACTGAATATCCTAGTCAGGTGAGTGCTGGGAGCCCTTCCATGCAGGAGGGCTGCTGGTACCCTGGGGTGCATCAGAAAGAGCTTTGCCAGCAGATCAAGGGAGGTGATCCTGCTCATGTTCTCATCCCAGTGAGGCATATCCAGAATGCTGTGGCCAATTGTGGGCTCCTCAGTACAAAAGAGACAATCAGCTACTGGAGAGGTTCCAGCAAATGCCTACATAGATGATGAGGGRTCTGGAGCTTCTGTCTTTTGAGGAGAGACTAGGGAAGCTGGGCCTGTTTAGTCTTGAGAAAGGGGATCTCATCAGTCCATACAGATATCTCGAAGGTGGTTGCCAAGAGGATGGTGCCAGATTCTTTGCAGCGGTGCCCAGCAATGGGACCAGGAGTAATGGCCATAAACTGGAACATAAGAAGTTTCACCTCAACATGAAGAAGAAGGTTGAGGATGGCAGAGCACTGGAGCAGGCTGCCCAGGGAGGTCGTGGAATCTCAGTCTCTGGAAACATTCCAAATCCACCTGGACAAATTCCTGTGTCACCTGCTCCAGGTGACCCACCACTGGGGGAGTGGTTGTACTAGATGGTCTCCTAGGAAGGAACTAGATGTCCCTTCCAGCCCTAATCATTCTGTGATTCTCTGGTATGCTGTAAATAACTACAGAGCGCAAGTGTGCAAGTGGAGTCAGTCCAACTACCATTACAAAAAACAAAAAGAAATGTTTGAAATTTAAAGGATATTAACTGGCTATTTAAAAAAGTCAGAATTTGTTKGGCTCTCTATTGGATGATGTTCTAGACTTGATTTTCAGTAGGATTTGAGGAAAAAGTATGGARAAATAACTTATGTTCTCTCATGACCCCTAAGTCATAAAAGATGAGAGTTCATCAACAAAGATCCACTTCACTCCTCCGTGGTATGTTCTTTCCTATAAAAGATTACGTAAGACTGTCTTACAAAACTAGAAAAATCTGTTGAGACTGATTATTTGGTGACCCTCTTGACCAAAGGATATAGTATTCTCATTTTTGAGTTTTTGCCGTATTACAAAACCAGCAAGGAAAAGGTAMATGTTCATTAAACTTCATCTAGAGCAGTGTCTATGTTAGCATATCAGTCTCTATGGTAGACCCTTTATATTGCTTTGGAACTTAAAAAATTCAAAAGGTACAAGTTAAAGCAGGCCCGTTACTTAATCCCTGGTATTTGTTGAGACTTAATAAATAAAATGCTGTTTTGTTGACTTTTCTTTATAAAAGATGCTGCTGAAGGAAATAACGATAGCCAGCCTTTTGATATAATCGTTTCAAGAACCAACCTGCCTCTGATATTGCTTAAAATCTTTGCTCCTTAATGCCTTAGTGAAAACTTGGACGATACATAGGTTGTCACAACAATAATTTCTCTGAGCCTCTAATCCTTCTGCACCAATCTGGACATGCTGTACCCAACTGCCAGCACCTCCAATGTGAGYTCAGATCAGATGGGTCATGTGAAGGTGGTCAGCTGTCACCCAGCTGGTATGACTGGTATGCAGAACTTTATCCTGGAGGTTAGTAATGCTCCCTTCCAAATCCTGCCTTCAGCTCTACACCTGAATCACAGCTTTGTGACCATGGATGAAGACTATCCAGTATCTTTTAGGTTTGTGGTGCCTTGCTGTCAAGAGCATCTCCAGGARCAAACTTCCCTTGTTAACTGTTCAGTGACCACATGTGTGGATGTGCCCAGCAGCATGCATGGAATACATCTAATCTCCCTGGTACAGCCTCAGCATTTGAGTGAGCAAAGCCATGCTTCTGTGGGCTGGAGGACTGTGACAGTCCCCAGCCTTTGTGAAATGTGCCTCACMCCCTTCCTGATTCCAAGCGCTGCAGCCATCTCACTCCATGGTCCTACAGCTTGTGAAGCAGTTTGTCCAGTGTTGCTTCTCTTCACTTACTTCCTTTTTTTGTTTTCTTTTTTTTTGCCTCTTACAGATGGACAAAAGAGGAAGAAGTCATTAAGAAAGAAACTGGACTCATTAGGAAAGGAGAAGAACAGAGACAAAGGTAAAATGAGTACATATTTAGGATCAGGTTTTAGTTTTGCATATGAGATTTCTTTAGTCTGAAACATACTTTTTGGAGTAGGAGAATGTTGTTGAGCTGATATACTGTCCAGGTATTTATTTTCAAGCTGAAAAATATATTTTATCTTTTCTGTTTGACTTTAGTATAACTCAGATCTCTTAAACAGAGAGATTTTAGTTTTTATCCTGAGATAAAGGGAAGAGTAATAGGACTATATCCTTCCTCCACTGTTCTTTCTCCCCATTTTCACTATCCAGTGTGGAGTGTGGTTTGGATAACATGATCCAGTTTTTTACCTGCATTTGCACTCTCCTCTCTCAGTTTACAAAGCACATAAACCCAGCACTGCCCAAGCAAGTCAATTGGTTTGCTTTTCTTTTTTTTAAATCTTAGAAAAATAGCCATTGTTAAAATATGTAAATGCTTCAGCACTACTGATCAGTTGGATTTTAATAAATTCCATGTGACATGGATTTACAGATATGGTTCTACTCTTTTGTTTGGACACTAATCAGCTTTATGGGCTGGGTCCTAATCCAAGACCTGAAGCTGACCTGTAATTTGGAGCCATTTGAACTAAGTCTAAATACTGAGACACTGAGAATTGTCTCTGAAATTGCATGTAGGTAATTGTGCGTYGAATTTTGTGTTCACTTCTGGAAAAGAAGTTCCAACAAAATGGCTGTAAAACTCAATATTGATGTCCTAGTTTCACAAATGTACACACAAATGCAGAAATCTGTGACAGGACAAGTGACCTGGTTAGTTTGATGTCCTCACTTTTAGGCGAGTTTAGCAGAACAATGAAACTTTGAAATTCCACAAAAAAAATTACCATCCCCATTTCAAAGTGAATTACTAGTTTAGATAGTTGTCAAGAGGAAAATATTTTTTTTTGTTATATGACTTCAGATATGTGATTATTATTTTCTTGATTTAAAATTGGTTATGGAAAATATTTGTATTAATATTTTTGAAACTGAAGGTCCCCTGATGCGTTTGTTTGATATATGCAGTGACTTCCTACGCTACATTGAAAGTACCAAACTTTTCATTTGTTACAAGAATTAYTTGATGTATGACTGAGCCCACATGCAGGAGGAGTCTTTAAAGAAGAGGTTTAATGATTTTATAGMCACCTCTGGGAGAAAATCTATTTTGTACTGTCTTATTAATGCATTACCTTTAGCTACTCTGTAATTAGTCAGTTATTACATTGCAATGTTTTTTTCCATAGTTCTTCATGCAGTTAAAAGTGCAAAGTAACATAGTTCTGTGCAAAACCTGCCCTGCTCTTCAATGTGTTKGCCAGATATTGATCTTCATAGAGCCTATGGGCTCTGATGCTCTTTTGCATCAGAAAAGGCTAACCACATCCTGCTTCTCACAAATTTTTGATGTACTGAGAGCTKTTCTCTTTCCTCTCTTATGGGTAGCATGACTTTGGTAGTCTCAGTTGAAAGTATCTCTTTAGAAGCTTTTTTGAGAGTTAAAATACATTTTGGCTTTTTATTTTCCTCACATTTTTAATTACTGTTGCAGATATTAACAATGATAAATTGCTTTGATAATTCACCAAACCAGAATTTTGCTGTGCCACCCAAACTTGGTGGATCTTTTCAATTGCATCCTCAGAGGTCCACCAATGCTCTTTGGTACAGTGCCTTGAGTAGTGATAATGTCCTTTTGGTGATGGATACAAATCCTTAACCCAGAGTTGGTCTTTATTCCAGTAAATTCTCTGTTGCCAAAGATCTTTCAAACAATATTTTTTCTGACATTGCCTTGCATTCTTTTGTATTTCCTTACAGCCGTGTTTTATTTCAGCTGACCTCTGTTTCTAATAATTACACAGCTGCAATAGTTGAGCGCTTCCAGATATTATTATTTTCTGCTATTACACTTCTGTTCAGGGATTTTCTTGTTTGTCTACCTTGCATGGTAGCATTTATACTCCTTTCAGTTTGTAGGTTTGGGGATATATTTGATTTTTATTCTGAAAGGTTTTCTGAGCACATTTTGCCTTTTAGGGCTCACTAGTTGCCACAGTGAGGGTTTACACTTTGTGCTTATTCATCATTGTTTATATTTATGTACTTCCTGGTTTTCAGCATTGCTCATGCTATCTGATTAACTCTACCAAGCATTTTTAGAAATCACTATGCTGATTCTCCTAATTTTAATTCCTTTTTTCTTCTTATTTGAAATTCACATTTCAAACATATACCCCCTCTGCTTTTATGCTTTTCCTCCCATCTTTCACTGCCCTATTCTGAGTTATAGAGATGTTTCTCATGTTCTTTCCACTTATAAAATATTATAAGAGCACCCTCGAGAACAAAACAACAAAGCAGTTCTCAAACACTGGAATCTGTATTTCTCTCCTTCCTTTAGGAAAAACTTGGGTTGATCAGTAAGRGTCCAGGAAAATGGAAGGAGTCAGGTTCTGAATGGGTTGTGCTAGCAGGATGAAAAGAAAGGCATATTTGCTCTGACATATTGCCAGCAGCAAATGTTAGGCAAAAATAGCCCAAACAGCAGCATGTGGCATCTTACTTCTCAGGTTTTCTTGCCCTGGTTGGTTCTGGTGTACTTTTCCCTGCCCTTCTGAGTTACTAAAGGTCATCTGTCACTCAGGTGCGTGCTGAGGAGATTGKTRATGCATGRCAGCAGAGGGAATGAACAGCCAGGRGTGCTGGTTTGTGCCATGGGGGCCATCAGCCTGGCACAGTGCTTAAAAGGTGCCTGTTTTCCTGTGGGAAGCAGCAGGACCAGCATCTCCTCCAGCCTCAGGAGTTGGTGGGCCCAGCTTTCAGGTGACAAGTTGGCTCTGGAAAGAAAAATGAAAAGCCTTGTGCTGCTGGTCYCCATAAGGATGAGCCTGCCAGGCTCACATCACAATTGTGCCCCAAAACCTTCCCTGAATGGTGGCCTCCGTGTCACCTGAAGTCAGCTTTAACCTCCCTCGACATGCCTTTCACAGCAAGCTTGCTCTGTAAAGAGAATGTTTCCATTTCTGGGCAGCCAGTCCAAGACAAGCGCTCCTCACTGTGAACATGGGTGTGTTACACAAAAGGCTGGGAACACATGCTCACCCAGGCTGGTCCCCAGTCCTCATGCCTGAAAGGAAAGCTTTCCTTATGTTAATTTGGGGGGGTTTGTGGTGGGTTTTTTTTGTAACTAGTCCAGGTGCACTGTTATGAGAAGAAAACAATGAGACCAARCCACAGGATGTCAGAGGGGAAGCAGGGAAGCTGATTTCCAGACACTTCATACAGAGGAGATGCAGCTGTCTTAATGCAGCCTTCATTTCCATCCCTTCAGCATCACTTTTGTAAATGCAGTTGCAGTTGGAAGAGTAATGATTTCCAAATATTTTGAGTTTTCTCTGTCCCAGCGGGGGAGCCCCACATACCTGGCCAAGCAGCTGAGGRCACCATGTTGTTAGGCCCTGCCCAGAGTAGGTGCCACCTGAGAATCTCCTTTTGTGAAGACAGAGTCCTGAGGGTTAATCCTGACAAAAATGCAGCACCATGTGATCCTGAGTGTGGGATGCAGTCAAAGARAACAGGCGTGGAAGGAAAGGGCCACCTTGCTGATCACCAGGGCTGCAGACGGGGGCCTCAGTGCASCTTTGGCCTGACAAACCCTTTTCTTCAGCCCCAAAGTGTCCCAAACTGCCCCAGAGTGCAGATTCCTGGGGGTTCTCTCTCTGCACAGGTGTCAACTCTCTCCAAATTTTGCCCAAGACAAGACTGTTCTTCACCCCCCACCCCGACAGGTGTCTATACTTAAAAGGCATAACCAAAAGGAATGGGACTCACTTTTTTCTAGGACTGTTTGAGGGTATAATAACTTGTATTTTAGGATTCAGTCCYATCTATGGAGTTTTTACTGTCTAAACTTCACATTTTCTTTAGATGGATCAATCAACCTGTCTGTTAAGTGGGCATTTCAGCAAACTGTCAGACTTYTGAAGGCTAATAAAGACACTACAGTTGAATTGAATGCACATTAAACAAGTTTGATATCTTTATTTTGTCCTTTTTGACGTCTGTCAACATCTCTTTAAAAAARGGGAGAAATTGTAAAACAAGTGTTTTTTTCAATTGTTATTACATCTCTGAGTGACTCACCAAAGCAGGATATAGCAAAACTTGCTGGATATAAACAGACTAAATAGGAGAACAGCATTCCACCCAGATATTTAAGCAGTATTTTCAGCTTCCATCGTTGAAATGTTTTTGCTTTACCCAGCCTCCTTGTTATTAATGGCCATCATGTCCCTCGACCCTACTGTCTACATGCATCTCCAAACATTGCTGACCAGCAGCACTCAGGCTGGAGGAGCAGTAACATGTCCATGCTGCTGGAATAAGAAATTCTCAGGATTCCATGCATGCTGATGGCTGGATGCCGTTCCCTTACGGATTCACTGCTATTTTTGACAGCAGCAGAGGCAGAGCCTTTTGTCCATCCCCTGCCARTGATTTGGGTGGCAGCCTAAGCAAGCCTTTTTTAAAGTACACACAGGCATTCCTGAGAGAGATGTCTCCCAGAAATTACTTGTTCTAGAATATTTTATMATTAAACCGGCTTTGTTTTGCCTTGGTTCCAGTAAACCCCACAGCTGAATGAAAAGACCTGCTCAGAAATGGTAATAATTTGTTACGTGATTGCTTGAGTAACTGAGAATCATCCCTTTTGCTGATGTTTCTGCATGGAATGTAAATACTTGGCAGGTTCCTCTGTGAGGCCTTAGCAGAGCTGCTGTGTATGCAGGACTTTTGACATACACAAATCCAGCAGTAGATGTTTGATTTTTTCTTTAGTTCAAAATTCTTGAAAACGTCTTTTGTGTTTACTTTCCCATTCACTAGTTGGTAAATTAAGCAGATTAAGTGAATTAATCAGTAAATTAAGATGTATTTCTTACTGTTTGTATTCGTTCTCAGTATTTCAGCCTATTGTGGTGTCCATGTGCCTTGGTACAGCCTAAGGAGAGAGCTGAATAAATGAAATGTCTTTTTTTCTTATCAGAGATTGGATTTTTCAAGCCTTTCCAGCATACTGCCATACTTTAAGAAAACCCCAGCTTTGAATATGTTTCTGGTGCTCTCTAGGCATACAAAAGTGTTTTTAAAGCCACACTGTGTCATATTTTATAATAAAGTCAACTAAAGTACCAAATAATCTCTTAATTTTTTGTAAAAAAGACCCCAGAGCTCCTCTGAGAAAAAGCATAAGTAATTGGGAGGGTCTAACATCACTTCTTGAAGGTCAGTAAGATCTGGGTGGCTGAAGAAGAGATTTTCACCCTCAGAACTGATGTTGAGAACATTGTCTTACCTCAAATCTCCTGGAGTCACTGCAGGTTTTGAAGAACCTTGAGATGGAAGGAGTTTTGCAGTTCCTGTTATCGACTGAGGTTTCTATTCTCCATGTGTTCTGCTTCCATCACCGTCTCTACAGATCTGAAATAATTAATTTCAGTTAGCAAAACAGAGTTATCCTTTCTGGCTAGCTAGGGAGATTGACTTAAAGATGCCATTTAAATATCCCTTTAGCATGTTATTCTCTTATTTCTATTCCTGTCATTTAAACAGAGGTGGTACAAGCACCTTAGTAAATCTTGGTCACGGGATTTTAGCAGCCCAAAAACAGCATTTCCAATGTACTTAAGAAAAAGCCCCAAATGCTGAGGAGACTAAYCAAAGTTACTCTTCACTTTATTAGTAATGAAGGTTCATTAGAATCTAGAATATAGACCTCACTAGTTCTTAATAGCTTGTAATGTTTTGCAGGATGGAAAGCAGTTTTCACCAGCTGAAACTTCAGAGAAGTCTTTTAAACTATATTTGGACAGGGTGACATGAGGTCAAGTAAGCTATAACCATGTGGATCAACATCCTGAATATTATCATTTGATTGGCAAAGAGGAGGATTTGGGATCACTGAAACTCTTATTTGATCTGGATGGGAATTTTTCTGTGACATGCTGCTTTTTATTAGAAAATAATGATTTACCACTGAAGAAAGATATCTTAGGAAYGTATCAGTTTCAATCAAAATTTTGTTAAGAAACTTGCCTAAACTGCACRAATGACTTTCTGGTAAGAGAAATTATGCACTTCTCCAAAATTGTCTCCTTTGCCAGTAAACAGTGAAAACTGGAGTGTATTAAAAGTGCTGGCTGAGGATACGAATCTATGTTTCCAAGCTGATTGCCTAATCTGCCAGGTTGTTTTTTTAAGGTGCCCAGTCTCCTCATTGAAAAAATCAGGTTTTTGTTGAGTTTGCAGAGAATAACTAACTTAGTAGCTTTGTCACTCAGTATATATACAACAGACCAAGGTTTGAGCCACTGCACTAAGATACATTTCTTCAAATGAGATCTCTCCACCAGTGGGGATCCCCAGCCTACAGCTGTAAAAAAGCACTGGGTCCTTTTACCTTAACTGTGAAACCAGAACTTCAAACCTACACATTGTGTATTGAGTTATTGCCCTTTCTTTCCTATCTCTGGGTTTGTTAATTRCTTCACATGAGTACAACTCTTCTTTTTTAATGGACCTGAAATGTCAGAAGGGCTGACATTCACTCTCGTTACCCGTCCATCAAGGAAGTTGTTGCAGTCAAATACTTTTGAAAAGTGGTGGGTAGAACATGCTCCCTGCCASCACACCCCATGGTGCAAGCACACACACATTTGGGTGGCAATTTGGGGCTGTAGCCAGTCTGCAGAGGGGGCAACTTAATTTCAACAAATGAGCAAAGAGAGTTTGCCAACTCTTTAATGTAATTACCACTGCCAGCCAGCACCGCTACCATCTGTATTTAGTCTGAAMTTCAGCCAGTTGGTTTTCATCCAGTTCCAAATCTCTGCCAGACATTGAGAAATCGAGGAAGTGGTTCTTGTCCTCTGCAGAAGCYTACAACAGAGTAGCCTGGAGTAGAGGCTCCGTGTCCTTTCTCTGGCCCACACTGAGCAAGAGCAATTAAAAACCTGGTACCCCACACCTGAGAGTTTACTGAGGGGCAACACCTATCTCAAAATGCTGGCCTTCACCTGTTGAAGTCGGGGRGAGAGTAATTTTAATGAAGTTCCTATGAACTTTTTAGTTTAATGAAATTTTAAGTTTTTATGAAGCAGTGCTAGGATCTCTTGTCCTGCTGATCCTGCCCGGGTTGATGTAGGATAAGGCACGTGCATGCKGTTGGGCATCACATGAGCTAAATACTGCTGGTCTCTCCCAGTTTGAAGCCCAAGCACTCTGAGCTAAGCTAGAGAAATATCTTGTGTTCAAGATTTGATTTGTCTCAGTGTCTTTCCTCAGGAATTGTCGTGGAAGGACCAAAATAAAGGGGTGCTGGGAGTGTAACAAAGCACACAGTTAGACACCCAGAGGGGGAGGCATATTGCGTATGTACATTTCAAGTTTGTCATCTGAAATGTTCATTGGGAAGATAATTTAGAACAGTTGAAATAATTAATACTGTCATAATTTTGTACACACTCTGCTGGGCACAGGAGGGACAGGTCTAACTGAACTCCTGGAACTGGCAATCCCTGCATTGCTTGATATCCGTGTGATGATGTTCTTTCTTTTTCTAAATTAAATGCAGATGGTTTTAGATGTCATTCCACTCATAGGTCACTTCCAGACTTGCTTGATATATGAGGCTCTGCTTCCTGATTTAGTTTTGTCTGGCCACCAAAGTTAATTCATGTCTTAAYATTTCATGCCTCTAAAGAGCAGGAATGTTTCTACCAAAGCAGAACAATGGGCTCTTGTTTCTTCAATGTGATAGTCTAGTAGTGTCTTCATTCAAAATTCCTAAAATATTCTTATCTTTTCAATGTCTTAATCTTAATGCAAATACAAATATAATTTGAAAGTGTCACCAAAGACATCGTCAGACTTAAAATCCCAGGAGGAATTTTAACCTTTAATTATTTACATGATTGTGGAAAAAGAGAAGTATAGTATATAAGAATTTTTCTATTTTTTTAAATAATTTCCTTTTTCATGCTTTAAAGAAATTTGTTTTAATCTCTAGTGCTTTATTTGTTCCTGATACAAGCAGGTTCTGAAGCTGGAATATAGTARAAGTTGCACTCATTTTCACTATGGTGAATAACATCAATATCTATTTTTTCATTCCATTTGACCACTAACCAGTCTAGTTGGAAATTTGTCTCAACAATTTTGCTTCTGCTAATCTCAGATAGGTCTGAAATGTAATGATGAGAATTTCATTTTTAGTTGCTGGCTAATTCATGGTAAAACATTTTTCTATTTTGTAAAATATTTAAGCATTTTTCTTTGAGACCTGAAGTATATCCTGGTTTTGTACATTACAGTTATATTGATGTGGAATGAAATTACATTCTTTTTCTCAATTGAGATAGAAGTGTTCTCCTGTATCGTCATGCATCTATTTTTTTTTGTCCTGCTGTCAGAAAGGACTTTTATACTGGTGCACCATTATTAAAAAGGTTTAATTTTAGCAGTATTTAAAACAGTATAGTTCTTGTGTAACTTTAAAACCACATCTTTGAAGGCTTAGTCTGAATAGTGAATGTGCTTCCAAGCTCTCTGCAAGGTAGACTCATACTGCTCTAGTGAAACCCATGCACATACCAAGGCACCCTGACTCTGGTGCCCTGCAGCATTTATGAGAAAGGAGTCTGGTGAAGGCATCTGAAACATGAGAGCTTTGGCACAGCCCAATGAGGCTCCCCAATCTCAGGATGGTTACCTGAGGAGCTTCTTATGCCMCTCAGCACCATCCACATGCAACCAGAAGTGCCTGACTTCAGTTACTTTTGATGAAAATTATCATCTAATTAAGATCTGATCCCAGGTGGTTTTCCAAGATATATTCCAAGCATATTCCAAGTATATCTTGCATGATGTGACTAGAAACAGGATTCTCATACTGTCAGCTACAATTACCTGGCACTGTTGTTATTATTATTATTCAGTCCAATATTTCACAGGAATTACTATATATTTAAAGGGACTTCAGATTGTTTTTCTTTTTAACAACTTAACAGTTAATTCTTTTTGTACTAAATAAATAKCAGATGTTTGGTAAATATTAGGGTTTTCTTGTTGTTGCAGAATTTATTCCCCAGGCTTTTGGAATGCCTTTGTCTCAAGTGATTGCCAACGACAGGGCCTACAAGCTCAAGCAAGACTCTCAGAGAGAAGAGCAAAAAGATGTCTCAGATTTTGTGGCCTTTCTCTTGCCATTTGGAACTAAAAGACAGAACAAAGAACTTTCAAGCAGTAACTCATCTCTCAGCTCAACCTCAGAAACACCAAATGAATCCACTTCTCCTAACACACCTGAGCCAGCGCCGCGGGCAAGGAGACGTGTAAGTAGASACATCCCAATGGGGTTTGGGACAGKAGGCAAAGAGAGAGTCTACCTGGACCAGGAAAAAGCTGTTGTGTGTGTGGACTGTGGAATATTTTTTATTATGTTTGAAGAGTGGTTTTTTTCAGGTGGGAACCTGTCATCAGCATCAGGTAACTCTTAACTGTAGTGGGAATCTTCTTTTGCTGATGCTGCTGGGAAAAGATCATATRGACTCTGCAGGTCTGTTACAGATCGCAAAGAAGCAAAGAGATCATCCAGAAGTCTTGCTGGCCCTTTGTCTACCTCCTTCTTTCTAAGTCTTTTAGATTTAACAAATTCCATCTATTCTCAACCTAATTTTTTCACCAGGGAAAGTGCTAATACTGGGATTGCAGCTTTTAGAGTGCTGATTTGGAGCCTTTAGTCCATAGCCATGAGGATGCWGTAGGACATGGTTCACCTACAGAGAAATAAGAGTGCTAAGGTGGGCAGTGTGACATGAGAGAGCTAGCACTTTCTCTAGGGAATGAACTTAGCTAATGASCTTCATGAATTGTCAATTATTTAACATTAACATCAACTCTTGTCCCATTTCTTGTCTGTCTATAAAAGTCTGTTAATAAGTGCACTTACTCCTCTCCCCTGAGCTTTTTTAGGGGATAGTAAGAAACTTTTATCTCTTGAACACTATTGCACTGTTTTCAACTGACAAATGCTTACAAAAAATTAAGAAACTATTCATTAGTAACTGATCATATAACTGATATAACCAATTTATCACAAGAATGGTGCACAGACACCTGGAGTGCACTCCTCTTAAACTGGAGGGATTGTTTRTCACTGGAGGGGTTGGTTATCACATCATTCACTTCTTCGCAACTGTGTCATTCAGTGAGCCTTCAAACACTCAGCTGAGACTTTCAAYAAGAGATAGAAGGTATTGCTGGCTGCAGAGCTCATGCTGTGGTTCTCTCTCCTCCAACAGCTTGACAGAAATCAYTGTTGCTGCATTTTCTWTGTAGGATTTTTGCCCAGSGGTTGGAGGTTGAGACTTCACATTCCACTTTCCTTCATGTTTCTGTGTGCTTAGCTTTAATACTTCCGCAGTCTGTTTAGATTTTGAACTCATCATGGAGGAGCAGGACTGATATCCATTATGTGCAAAGGTAATGCCTGGTAGATGGAACTTGATTTTCTTTGCTTGCTGGGCACTGCAGTCCAAGTATCACAGTGTGTGTTACTGAACCTGGAGCAGTGGGCACTGGTGTGCCCAGTCTCCTCCTTTGCTGTTCCTCAGCATTCAGGGAGGTTTGTCTGAGCCCAGACTAATAGGTCTGACTGAGTTTGAGCTGGATCTGTGGTGTATGTTGGTAATGTTTTCCTGTGCACTTTGTAAAATCAGAGCTGGCCTGGACTTGGTATTGCCAAGCGGTGGCTTCAGTCACTGAAATCAAGGTCACTCATCTTAAAGCCAGCTCAGTGTGCCAGTTAATCCACAACTTTGATAAAATGCCCAAGGACAATGGYGAACTGACCGTATTTACATCTATTTTAGGGATGTGAATCCGACTTAAGTGACTCTGGTAATGATTCATGAGGTGAGGATGCTTTGCAGACAGGCAAGGACCAGTAAAGGCAGGGTGTAAAAGAGGCACCTCTTGTACAGGATCTGCCTTGGGACCGAGGTGGTGAGGGTGGTGTTAGGATTTTCAGTATAAATCGATTCATTTGATGTTTGGAATGCCTAACTCTTTAAATAAAACAAAATCAAAAGCTCATTCAGTTGGAATTTTACACACATGGATCATAGCCAGAGGTTCTTGTTTGGTTTGGAGGGTTTTTTTGTTTGTTTTTGCTTCCTGTTGGCAGGAAATGGTAAAGGGAATCAAGCAGATGTACTTTTGAGACACATCAGAAATAAAGGTCAAAAGTTGCATTCTAAAGGATCTAGTAATWGTTTATAGTAATGTGGGTAAAAAAGAAAAAATCTAAAAAACTTCACTGTATTCTATTTATATATCTACCATGAGTTACAAGAAACAGAACTATACCTGATAAGTTAAATGTGGYTTGGGKTTTTTTTTWAAGATATYATGAACTAGRAATTGTTCAATTAATTTGAAATCTGGGTRGACTTTGTGAATTTTGCCTATGACTTGGAAACCTTCATAAAGTTCAGTTGGCTAGGTTGATGGGAGAAAATACTTCTAGAGCTTGAAATTCCCTTGTAGACAATTGTACAGCTCTCATTTATCTGACTAGCAGTCTGTAAAATTACCTGTGAGCAGAACAGTGTGCTTTTAACAAACTAATTGTCAGCAAAGTTTTGAGTAGGAATTTACATTTTCTTAATTATTTCTTAGGATGACAGGCTGCTTTCCTGTGCARTACATGTTATGTTATGGTAAAATTTATGCTTTGTTTTGGGAAGAAAGAAAGAAAATAGTTTACAACAGCTACTTTTAATAGGAATAGAACCCGAAATTTTTCTTTCTGTTTTATAATTATTTGTAAGCCTACATCTTCCCTGTAATGTTTTTGCCTCCTAAATGTGATAACAATTGAAAGAAATTGTAGTTTTGAATTGACAATAATCTTGTGGTTTGAAAAAAAAACCCTTTTTTTTCAAGTGTGAACATTGAAACATACCATAAATCTCCTGCTGCTTGTGCTGCCTTGTCCTTTACATACTCTTGAACTTCTGTACCTTGTTGCAGTCCAAACCTGGCTTTCAAAGCCTTCAATGGAATTTTAATGATTTTAAAATATTAAGATACATGAAGTAGAATTTTTTAAAAATATTTCCCCTCAACTTCTCTGCTGTATCTTTATTCTGTGATAATGTGGGATTATTTCAAACTGCACATCTGTATGTATTTGTGATATTTACTGTTAACTGTACATGGTGTATGGTTTTTAATAATTTTGCATACGTTTCACTGATACAATGGTCCAAGCTACAAAAGAAGTAGGCAATCAGATTTAAAGCTGTCTTTATATCTCCATGCACATGAATATGATGCTGCTGAGGTACACCCACACACCATGATTCATCCTTGCCCTGCAGTATGTGCAGGCTTACAACAGTAAAAAAATGGAGCAAGTGAGTGGAAAGCATTTAGTTTTTTCAATGTTTTAATTTGTGTTCCTTGTAATACGATACGAATAACATGGGTACCATTGTGATTTTTCCTATCCATTACACTGTTATTATAACTTCACTAATTTATAAAAAATGTTGTAGAAAATTGCATTTTTATATTAATTTGTTTAAAATGCAGATAGGTAAAAGTCTTTGTTGRACATCCTGTTAAACTGAGATTTTTCCAGCCCTACTGATTACTCGTGTGTATTTTACAGGGCGCGATGTCTGTGGACTCTATTACAGATCTTGATGACAATCARTCAAGATTGTTGGAGGCTCTCCAGCTCTCTTTGCCAGCAGAAGCCCAGAGCAAGAAAGAAAAGGCAAGAGATAAAAAACTAAGCCTGAACCCTATTTACCGGCAGGTTCCCCGGCTTGTAGATAGTTGCTGCCAGCACTTGGAAAAGCATGGTAAGAATCTTWTATTTTCCCAGAAGTGGCAGATGTATTTTTACTGTAACATAAATAAATGCCTGTTTTGAGAAGCAAGTATATGCTTCCAATTGCMAGGACATCTTTGAAAGTTAGACGTTTTCCCTCTTGTTTTGCCTCTTRCTAAAGGTACAGTCTCACAAGTAATTACTTGGATGATAGCTTCCCAATCTCARGATCTRTGCTACGAGCTTGCAGACTGGCCCATAGAGAATAGGGACAGAGGTTTTGCTTGGAGGTCACTCATCTTCTGCTGGGGGCTTAGCTCTGCAGAAATGGCTCTTCACACCTCACAGGTTTACCTGTACCTTGAGAATAAAAAGTCTGAAATGTGCCAGTCAGTCTGAACTCATTTTCACAAACAGTGGATCTTAYGGTGTGAGAGCTAAATGAACTATTTATACTGTAGTGCAAGACCTTTGATATTTGAAGATGGAGGCTCAGAATGAGAAAGAATTCCACTCTAAATATATATTAAGCTCCAAGAAACCTCTTCCTGTCCAGCACAAGGTTTGAAGGCTGAATACTCAGTTTGTCTCTGGCTTGATTCCTCCTGACCAGCCTCAGGCTCAGGCCTGCTCTCTCTGAAGGAAATTACAGACTCTTGCCACTATTCTTCTCATGTCTTCATGATTGTCCAGACACAAACCTCCCACAGCTTTATGTAATGCAGAAACAATAGCCAATCTAGGTATCTGTTTGCCATCTCTGCCAGTGTGTTTTAGTCTTGTAAAGTTTTTTAATGATAGTTGAAATAACTTGGCTGCAGCAAGATGGAGTTATCACATGGCCAGATRATAAACAAACCATAAAACAATGGTGACTACAACAGCAAATCRTGGGTTTGTTGCTAATTTCAGCAGCAAGAAATGATTTACTGACTCTGAATGAAAGGCTTTTGCAGATGAGGGACTACAATTTAAACAACAATACTGAGATTTCAGTTTGTAATTGAAAACTATGTTCCTTATAAATGTATTAAGGAGCACTACAATAGAGAGTCATTGTTAGTCTTTTACAGAGATTAGATACCATGGCAAGTAAGTATGGGATAATTAAGTTTGAGATAAATTACTTCCATMTTTTTAAGCAAAGGTAGCTGAGTTTGGAGAGCATAAAAATATCTGATTCAGCCAGAAGTGCCATCCAACTGAGTATCATTTGGAATACTGTGATTTTATATGACTTGATCATCTCTGATAAATTTTTAATCCACTTAACCCACTCTCACAGCAAAGATTCTTTTCTATATGACACTCTTTACTAAAATATTTGCTTTATATTGAAGTTTCTTTTTAAAGGAAATTTATGATGGGTTATTGTGCATTATTTAAGAGTGAACTATAATATACCACAGTGCAATAACGTGATATAATTTGGGGCAAATTCCTCAATTTTCAGTTTAATCTGCTGTTCACAAGACAGTCATTGGAACTGAGAGAAATGTAAAGATTGTAGAAGATGGATACTGTAACAAYATCATTCCAAGGCTATATGATTGACCAAGTTTCTGATTCTGAAAATCTTTATCTGTATGCATWAGTACTTTAGATTAATTTTTGATCAACAAATCACCAGCAGTTTCAGATGAATGCTTTAAAGGATAATTTTCAACATTATATGACAAAAAAATGGTTATTTTTTCATTCATAAAAGCCTCTGTCCTTGTTCACTTTTCCCTGTTTTCTCTGTTTCCCTTTATGTCCCAGAGACAATGAAGGCTTAACTTTCTGTAGAACTGCAGTGTAGGGCAAACACTGTATGCCTGTGCAGGAACTGGTAAAACCCTATCCAATGTGTGAATCTCCATCTCAGATAATTCTCTGCCAGTGTTCCTGGGTTTACTAGATGATAGCCCATCAACCAAAGAGAAGGGATTTAAAAAGAGGTGTTATGTTGAGATTATAAACTCAAAAGCAGAACCCTATCTGAATTTCTCTGATGAAGATCTGCAACTCCAAACACTGCTCAAGGTGACACGTCTCCAGCAAGCAAGTGTAGCCTAATGGCTGTCAAAAGGCTTTTGTTTCACAAGGTAATTTTATATCTCCTGTATGTCAGAGATGCACACTAGCCCTTGTTAGACCATAAACTTCCAAGCTTGTAAATAATCCCTTTTGCAAAAATGTGCAACTGTGTAAAATTACATTACGTACACAGCTCCTTAAGGCTCTAAAATTTCCACTCACATTGTCACTGTTAAAGACCATGTCACCTCTCAATTTTTCAGGCCTGTCACTCTGCAAGATACGTCCATTCAGGAACTATATTATCATTTGTTGTATTTGTAGTGGATTTCTACAGGTCTAGGAGAAGGTTTGAATTGATTTTTTATGAAATAGTGGGCAACACCACTTTCCTGATCACTTTAAATCTAAATAACACACTTCTGCACTTTGCTTAAAAAAAAGCTTCTTTATAGCTTTCCCTTTATATAATAGCTGTTCCTGCCGTATAAACTGCACACAACTCCCAGTTAAAGTTATTCCCTTGCACAGTGTGCCTGAGTGCCCTATTTATATACGTTTGAAGGAAACTCTCAACTTTGCCTTGACGGGCACTTCAGAGCCAATGAGTAACCCCAAACACCAACTGCTTCCTGTATCCAAAGACACGGCTCAGTGCCTGTGTATTTAGTTGTTTTACTGCCTGTTTCCTTTGATGTCAGTCCTGGAAGTTGCAYCTCCAAACCTTGAGTAGTGCCTCAATCTCTGCATACCTCTGTTGCTCCTAGCAGTGGCATCACAGAGATGCCATTTTGCAGATTAGGTGTGATCCTTAAAAAACACAGTGGATGGCTTCTTAATCACAACGGTGTCTTGCCTCAACATGGTAAGTACAAGTATGTGGAGAAAAATGTTGCTTTTTTAAAAAATTGTTTTAAGTGCACACATAGCTCAGAATGCTTTGGTTCAATGCAATTTWCAGGAGAAAATTAAACAGTAAAACAGTGCTATGATGTGTTACACTTGCAGGTCTCCAGACAGTAGGAATATTCAGAGTTGGAAGCTCAAAAAAGAGAGTAAGACAGGTGAGTGGATATGGATGTGGTTTTCCTTCGTCAGCCATGATACAAACAAATCTGACTGCTTTTGTTGTGATTTCTTCCCCATCTGCAGCATGGTGAAATGTAGGCTTTCTGGGTCATTGGTTTTTGATGGCTCATAACAAGCCATTTCCAGTATTTTCTACATCTGTTGAAATCCTTGTCAGGTTCTCAGCAGGTTAAGAGTCTCTGTATGTTTTGCTCTGCAAAAGTAGCACAGGGCTGGAGATCCAAATAAACTACAGTGAAGAAATTTTCCAAAGGTCACACTGCAGGGGAAAAAAAATCTTGGCTGTTCGTTTCATCTCAGAAACAGCTGAAGCTCCCAAAGTAAACTCAAACTGTAAATCTTTTTTGGAAAACTCATGGTATGAGAAAACATGCAAGTWCAGAACAATCTCTTTGACCCTAAGATCGCTGCTCCTCAATATCACCTTTCTTTTACCCCTGCTAGACTTCAAGGTCAGAGCAGACCCTTCCAAGTCTTAGTCTYGGCCAAATTATGAAAAAGCAAAGATAGTGTACAATTAGGTTCCAGAGACAAAATCAGATGTGGGTGTTACCCCCTAGGTATACCTATCTAGATACTGTATTGTTATTCCCAGAAGCTGGGAATTCATACTGAATAAAGGCAGTGGAGAATAGTGGTTAGTGTTTGAATGACACACAAGGAAGRGATAAAAAGTAAAAGGAAAATACTGCTCCCAGGAAGTATGACATCAAAAACATGAAACAGGACAAAAAAAAGGAAAAGATCCCAGAAGTTATGGATCTTTGCAAAAAGTTGCAAAAGCTTCACAGTGTAATGTTTTGTGACTCTGGAAAGTTCCTTGAATAGCTAAACTGAATTAATTTGGGCTGGTAGGACAGTATAGCCTACTGATTTGTAGCTTATTCTTCAGCAGTTTCTGTTTTTGCATAGCTGGTGTAACACCAAGCTAAAAAGCCATCTGCAGAGGCAGTTTTCAGATCAGCACTGGACTAGATAAAGTATTGGAATTGCCTCGCATTTATATTGCAAGCTTCAATGTCAAAACATATATTATCATTTAGGGGTGATTACAATTGCATCATACCTCTGGGGAAAAAGCAGAGAATTTCTATCCTTTGCTTGTAAACTAARCCTCACTTTGAACATCAGTGACTTTCACCACTTTTTCTCTTATTCTGTTTTCAGAAGGTGAGGAAATCAAGAGATTTGGGTATCTATGTTTTTTATTATGTGGACTAATTTATTGAACTAGGTAAACTGATATATTTCATTAAACAACAAGGAAGCACCAGCTTGGCCCTTTAGTTACAGTAATAAATGCTGTCAACATGAACACATGGGAAAGTCTGGATTTAATTAAAATTCCACTCATTTTCTGAACCATAGAAAGCCAAACCCAGCACTCAGATTTTGGAGTGCTTTTGCAGCTGTTCATTAGTTTTTCTTGTGTAGAAAGTAAGCATGTTTTGTTTTCCTTCCTTCCCTAGTTAGAAAATGTCCTGTTTCGACTGTAGTTTGTTGCAGGAAATACATAAGTAAATAAATGCATGTGCCAGCGGGGTTTTTGATTGGTGAGCAGCAAGAGAAAATCTAGAACACGTGCATCTCTTGCATACCTCCTCCTTTGTGTTCAGTGAGGTGTAGGAGAAAGATTCCTGAGCTCATGTTGACTCAAGGTGGTAGATCTGGTACATCAAGAWGCCAGGTATCTTCTTGTGCCTGGTACAGATACTTGAGGGTTGCACTGTTGCCTCAATGCTGGGTTTGGTGGTATTGTGGCAGTTTGAACCCTGAGGGTGAAGAGTAAAATAGCTGGAGTTCTGYTCTCCCATTCCCTGTTCCAGCACAGCTGTCCTCATGTCTCAGATTCAGTGGATGCTGTGGTTCACCAGGTGTGTCTTCCAAAAGTCTGACAGTATTTCATGTGAATGGAGCCTGAAAGACTTAAAACTGAAACTTAAAATATGCAGTTTTAACAGCCATGATGCCTGGGCCTGAAATGTGGCYGCATCTCACCAAAGCTTATATGATATTTTGCTGCTTAGGACACCTCTGTAGGTCTCGCAGATATCAGATCAGAAGTGCCACATTCAAGACTATAACAGCAATTAATTATTTAGACAGCTATTTGGGAAGTCTGAATTTCTGATGCAGTGCTAATCTGTTTCCTCAGCTGCTTTAGGGCACTAAGTGCAGAAACAATCTTCTGGACTGAGGTAATTTATGGTCCTCCACAGTGACGTTCTGCATTTGTTACCAGTCTGGAGAGTAGGATTAAGTTGGGAATGAAATCCCCAAGTTGGCACTGGAAAATCTTGGACCACAAATCAACAGGGGGAAGCATAATACTAGATAAAAAACATATTCTGGTCTTCATWGCATAATTTTTCATTATTAGCAATTATCTGATATTTATGTTAAAAGTAATCTTAATAAATTAGAATTTAGGCTGTGGTTTTTCAGTGGATACCYTTCACACCCACTATAAAAGCACAATTTCAGCTAAAACACAGGATTTTCACACAGTACACAYTCAAGATAGATTTCCACATGATCAAGATTTGCCACAAATTATCACAGGCATATAGTTTGCTTGTGACAGCTTCTTTCCTTTTTTTGATATGTTTGCAATATTCCTGGTGAAGAAACCTGATACTTCAAATTTCCTTGTTTATTAAATTTAGCTCTAATCACTCTGTGAGAAGATAGGTGTGACATTGTGATACCTCATAATGTTAGCAAAGGTACAAMTTTCTTCTAGGAAATAATTTTGAAACCTCTTGACTGTCTTCAAAATGAAAAGAGTAAAAAGTGGAGCTGTCAGCCTGAAGAAAGTATTCTGTTCTTGGTGCTGGAAAATCCCTCCAGAAGGGCAGGCTTTTATCTTTTTATAAGGTGTCTTGGATTTGGGAGAGGGATTTTTTCCTGCTTCTGGCAAGTGTGATGCCTTTGAATTATAGCGAATTTGTCTGAGGACCAAAGTGGGGAAAAAAAACAGCAATACCTTGTAATGATATTAGCTTGCTGTTTGTGAACTCTATAATAATGATAATTTAATGAATATAACTAAATTAGGAAGGCAGAACAAGGTGTGTGTGGATGAATGCTGTGAAGTCTTAGTGAACCTGTCTGCTTGCTGCCTTYCTTCACATAGGGTCTTACATGATAATTTGTGAATTTGGAGGATATTAATGTGATCTTATTATTAATCCTTTTGTACAAAATCATAACTGTTGCAACATGCAATTTTAGTCTTCGTGGTTCCAGGGATAATGCTGTGAGGTGGTATTAAGAAAGCCTTTCTTGTAGTTTTCCTTAGTCTCTCTGGTTTCTGCCTTTGCTATGAATTTAGTATTTCTTCAAAAATTATACTTGGACACATGTTTGCACACAGGATTGTCATATATTCGCTAGAAAATATTTGTATTTTATTAAAATCTGGTACAAACCTTAAGCTATTTTTCATGGAATAAGCAACAATTAGACATGAATTATATCTTTGACCTTACCAAAAGCTAGTCATGCTCAATCTTGAATGTGAAAATTAGTAAACCTACTTCTTTAAAGCTTTTCTGTTTTGGGATGTACTAATTGGGATAATAAGTGATTGTGATTTTCTCTCATGATCTTTTTCAGTTACGTGAAGAGTTTGACCGAGGCATAGATGTTGTATTAGATGAAGAGCACAGCATTCATGATGTTGCTGCTTTGTTAAAGGAATTTCTGCGTGACATGCCTGACCCACTCCTCACCAGAGAACTTTATACACCTTTCATCAACACACTCTGTGAGCTCTASAGCATCTTGATCTATCAATTTTCAAAAGCTAACCTGTTTGAATTCTTTGATCTCTACTAATAGCCTTCTTTTATTCTATTCCTTTAATGCTTGTCTTGATTTGCAACAAATATTCCTATGGTATACTATAGAAAATATATTATATTCTAATATACAGTAGCGTATATATAGCACACTATAGTGTGTATATATAAAAYAAATAATATAATATATTCTTTAGTATAAGTTTAATAAGGTCTTTTCTTGGGTTTTATACTGTGTAAGTATAATCCAGAAATCTAGAACAACAAAAATTTCACTAACTRTACATATTTTTGTGTTTGTAAGCATGTATTTCTATTGTCTGTTAAAACCTGACCCAGTCATTGGTTCAGTAGTACCACATCACAGACTTCTATTTGAATCTCCATATCTTAAAATTTTTAGATCTGTCCACTGACCAGAATTCCTTCATATAAATAGCTTCAAAAATTTGAGTTTCTTCACAATTATTGGTCCTCAAAGCCATCATATTRAGTGCTCCCAATTGTGTTGCCTAAGACCTGAGTGGAGACTCTCATGGATTTAGTAAAAAGTAAAGTGGGACCCTGGTATTAYGTTCTTCAGATTCTTTCTAGCCCTYRTGTCTGAGATGCTGCCTCTGTCCCACCTTTGTCACTGGCTACCATTTAGATCATAGATGGTTCAAGTGGTGGTGGTTGCAGAATGTCCTTTATATCTCTGGTGGCTTTTCCAATCTCCTGGTACCTCTGCAAGATGAAAAATTGTAAGCAAACCACACAAAAAAGGCTGAAGCATAAACCTGACTGGAATGTTTGCGAGCTCTATATACACTCTATATACCAGTAGCTATTCTTAAATGARTAGAGTAAGTAGAAAAGTAAGCAGAATATTTGAGTCAAATAACACTGATGGAGTGTGAAACATGGATTTTACTCTCTTATAGATGAGAAAAGGTCCTATGAACTTGTGTGCCAAATGTTGACTGATTAGGGCAAAAATCCCATTATAGTAGTTGTTATACCTTTGGTGTTTCCTTAGAGTTTTCTCTTTTTCTTCTGACATGGTAATGAAAATTATTCTTAAAGCTATTCCTATGCCTTCCTTTGGGTTGGGAGCAGTATATTTGTTCTGCTTTTAGGTTAGTTGGAGTGATTTTCTTAGAACATATTTTTTCCCCTCTTAGTATTAGAGCCAGATGAACAGCTAAGCACCTTACAGCTTCTCATTTATCTTCTACCTCCTTGTAACTGCGATACCCTTCACCGGCTGCTGCAGTTCCTCTCCACGGTAGCTGGCCATGCAGAAGACACCAGGGACAAGGATGGCCAAGAGGTGAGTCCTGGTCACTTGTGGCCTTTGCTTAAGTYATGGTCTAAAAAGAGATCTTTAAAGCCTTTAAACATATACAGTGGTGGCATACTCCTGAAAGATGAGGGAGAGATTTAAACTATTTGCCTGCACTTCTGCCATTTAGTTGTTTATTGTGTTCGTAGGGCTGTGGAAGTTTAATTTTTTGTATGACTTAATCAGTAAAGCATCTAACACTTCCTTTGGGAGATCACAGTGTACCAACCTTGCTGTCAAGAACATCTAATGTCATCCATCCTTCSCCTGCTGCCTTGTTTTATCCTATTATATTCTATGGAAAAATTACTCACAGAAGGTCAGGCATGCAAGAATATGCTTTTTCGTTTTCTTTTCATTCTCTGCTGTTGCTTTTTTATATGACCTTTGGACATGGCAGTTCACTTCTTGGTTCCCTTAACTTCCTTGTGTGCACTGGGTCGTGAAAAATAAAAAACAGAGGAACTCCAGCTGTATCCTTGCAACTGACAGACCTCCTCACTAACTGGAGTCAGGGTTCACCTTTGCCTGTTTTCTTTCTGGCCTCTTAACTGCTGCAGTCTGGACCAAATTCAGTGGGGAGTTGGGTGTGCACTCACCCCACAGAGACAGGAATGCCCACAGCCGTGGGGCTGAGCTCTAGCCCTGAGCATTCTCACCTATGGCCATTCACACCAAAGACCTGAAAATCCAGGCTTCCCATTTTCTGCCAGGAAAGTGCTTGAACTAGTGGGCTGCTGTGCAAAAGGTGGCAACTGAATGAAATGAATACAGTCTGTCCCTGTTTGACAAAATTCTGCTGATTTATCTGTGGGAAGTTTTCTCAGTCCCCTGAACTGCAGCAGAGACTACTTCTGAGGTTACTTCTGAGACCATTTTGAAACTCCTAGAGGATTTTGTCTTCGGATGGAAAATCCTGCTGATTTTTTCAAATTTGGACATCCTTTTTAACAATTGGCACTTTGAGACTTAGTTTTGCCAAATTTCTGCCTCAAGTCCTGTAGTGTTCTGTGTGACTTCGAAGCCTATTACTTTTAAATCCACTCTAAACACTATTATTTTTGTTCTCAGCAAGGAGTTGATAAAAAGCTTTATCTCTGTGATGGAAAGCATTTAGAAAGAGCACCCTGTAACAGTTTTACTGTGCTTAAAAACATATATAAGTCAGCTAAGGTCRTGGTCCCCCTGGTCCTGCAAAGAGTTGTCTGTTGGTTCTGCAATGTGCCCAAGAGGATCTTATTACAGGGCTAGGGGATGCTGCTTAACAGAGTTGATTTGGGTCAACAGTTGCACATCAGCTTTGCCACAGGTGTTTTGGCAAGGCAAATTTATGTAAGCAATTTTGACAGTATTGTAAGCATCAGGAATATTATRTGCAAYTGGRTARTTTTTATAGATAATACAGTATTCTKCTCACAAYTATTTTAACTATTTRTGAATAATTAGGTGAATAAAGGCAYAGAGGTCAAGAGAAAGTATTTTATTGTTACTATCACTGGAAGCAAAACAGCCAAGCTTTGGCACACAGACCCTCTTCAGGACTTCTTTCAACAGCCTTTGTCTCATGAATGTGAAGATGGATGACTGACTTTATTAAAATTACTCATTCAGTTAATTTCAGTGGAAATGTTTGCGGCATTTTTTAAGGATGCCCTGAGGCTGCCCTTAGGAAGAGGCTGACTGTTTGTACAAACAGCCTGCAGAGCAGATCCAGGCACAGCCAGAGGCTGCCCTGGCACACTTGAGGCACCTTGAGGTGTGCCTGTGCATCCTTGGTGGCTCAGAGCTCGGACAGAGTTTACACTGCAGGTCACCTGAGAAACAGCTGGGTGCTTGGTGRTGTGAGAATCAGGGAGTGTGTGCTGGGTTGAGTCTTTAAACAAAGAACCATCATGACTGCCCAGGCACCTACTTAGAACAGATGTTTTTCCAAACATTACACAGTGCTCCTAMCAATAAAAATATAAGCTCTCTTTTACTGTCATTTCTGTGCTSTCAAGTTGAGCTCTTTAAAAAACAAACCATGTGCAGTCAGTGTAGTTTTAGGTTTGGTTAGAGTATTCAGTGAATGATCAGCTACAAAAAAAATATAAAAAACTCTTTTTAAAGCATCTGTTTGCTACAACTCATTTATTGAAATTCTATTTTTACTACCTTTTTTTTGGTGCCTCCTTATGTCCATCCTTTAAAAAAATTATTAGTTCAAATTACCTCTACTTTTTACTTTGTTGAAAGAATAGAAGGGGAAAAAATAGTCTAATCACAAATATGGCAATGAAATTCTTGATGTAATAACGCATGTTATATATATTCCAGATAATTCCTCTCTAGTCTGTTGTGCATTCCTAGCATTTTACTTCCTCAAAATTCAGGTTACTGTTGCTTCTTTGGGCACAGAATTATAAAAGTAGAAAAAAAGGTAAAAAACCCAACAAACTACAAAAATCCACCTAACAAGTAAACATTCGGCATGTTTTAGAAAACAAGTAAAAATACAGGAAAATACTAATAAAAACAATGAGCCTTCTCCTTAATTATCTAAACAATTTAAACATGGAAAATTRTCTCTGTATATGTTTCAAATCATGAGTGCTACTTGAGAAAGCCAGTAATTTTCAGTATTTGGTCCTAAGAGACAGTAACATGCTGAGATGGTGAAGAAGGAGGGAGGTTTCTCTGAGTTCAGAAGCATGACACTGTCGAGCTTCCAGGGAATTAAGGGCAGGAAACACTTCTACCTTCTATTCCTCCAATCCACTTGAAAACATCCAGAAAATCTACAGTGCTTGTTGCAAAGATGTTCCAAACAAGTTGTTTCAGCATTTCGAAAAGCTGTTCATTTTTTATTTGACTAGCACCAGGTTTTGGGTTTGATAAACAAAGCATCTGCCAAATCAGGGGGAAAAGTGTGTGTGGGTATGTAGGGTGAATGTGTGTAGATGTGTGTATATACATATCTGTGTACATTAGATCCTGTGAGACCCCACCTCATTTATATTGTGTTTTCTAGATTACTGGGAACAAAATGACATCGCTTAACCTGGCCACCATCTTTGGCCCTAACTTGTTGCACAAGCAGAAATCTACAGACAAAGAATTCTCGGTTCAGAGCTCAGCTCGAGCTGAAGAGAGTACTGCTATCATAGCTGTCGTGCAAAAGATGATTGAAAACTATGAAGCCCTTTTCATGGTGGGTGGATATTTTTTTCATATTACTCATATACATTTGTAAGATAAAGGAGAAAATACCTGGTTGATATTAAAGTAAATGAGGATGAAATAAACTGTAGAAACTGCATTAAATTAGGATCAATAATTAAAAAAGAGTAATCCTCTAGCAAGGAGAATGATTTGCAGTAAGTGAAAATATTAAAAATGTGTACTTATATCTTGCTTGGAATGGTTTCTATGTACATAAAGGTATACTGTTTGGAAGATAGTCTGTGGAAATGATGGGGTTGGCTGTTCAGTTATATGCTGAGCAATGCATGGACTGAAAATGATCTTCCACATCTCAGTTTTGAAAGTCAGGAAGACAATTCTTCTGCAGGGATTAAGACATCCTTGGTTAATTTAAAGACTTGCCTTCCCTACCCAAGRCTTTTTTGTTGGTGGGATGGAGAGGAAGGACAAAGCTTTCTCATTTGTTAGTTGGGTAGAAGGAATAAAACATAAACCTGAGTAGTTTATGTGTAGTTCCAGAGTTCACTTCAGTTCTCTTGCTGAAGCAAGGAAGTTCTTCATAAAAAGGCTGAAGGCCTTGGACTTGGACAAGTTTATTTAAGATGCAGCTCAGCTGAATCACATTCCTCATGCCTAGTAGTTACCTGAGCAGTTCATTCTGTGTCTTTATCTTTTTGTGTACAAAATTGTAGGTCAGCTCAGTAGGACTTAAGTCTGAGAGGGCCCTGCTCTAGAGTAGCAAAGACCCGTCAGACCTAGTGGTGGGCACTATTCTGTCTTTATTTTAGTAAAAAAATACATCGTAACAGAACCAGTAGTTGTGAAAAAGTGGAAAAAGCTTGGTCGTTGTGTCCTGAGACTAAGCAGCCCTGTGTGTTACACTGAGGAGATAAGTTCCCAAAACAGGAAGAGCACTCTGGAAACCTTCAGTCCTTCGGCAAAGCTGAGTGCTGGAGGCCTTGTTGGAAGAAGGTGGACAAGCCTGAACTGTGGGCTGATGGCCRCATGGTACTGCAAATGGAAGATGTCAGTCAGATTTCAACAGGGAATAGAGCATGAGAAAACAGTCATGAGCCCTGCTTCAGGTGTCTTAGTCTCAGATGAACATCTTTGTGGTTTTTCTTGCTTTTATTTTTACTCCTGTACCAGTGAGACACTTGCAATCATTTTTTTGGGGTGTTTTTTAAATGCTTTTCACAGTTTGGGAAAATGCTAGGTGCTATTTTTCCTGCACGTCAGGAAAAGAAAGTGACAGAATTGCACTCTTGGGTGAAGGTCTGCTGGCCCAGAGTGTGGATGGCACTATCAAGTTTAAAATAATACTTGAATRAGAATACTTGCAATACTTGTGTTGTTATTGTTTCTTGTTAAGAACTTCTTACAGCACAAACCCATCTCAGTGCATAATACTTAGGCATGCATTCTGACTCTCAATGYAGAAAGGATGGGGCTAAGGTTACACTTACTAATCCTTCATCTGGGCACTTCTAATTCTGATGGATTTAATCCTTCATCTCTTCAGTGCTTGCACTTTCATCTGAAGGTTAAATGAAGTGTGGGAAAAAATTTTCTTTTGCTTTCCAGAGTAGCTTTTACTGTTTATACTTGACAGTTATGCTACTAAAAAAAAAAAAAAAAAGAACATCTGGACTTCAGCATTCAGCTACTGCTGTAACAGTGTATGGATGCTCGGATGCTTTTGTGTTTAGGTTTTTTTCTTTCTGCTACTTTATATATGGGGGAGAGGGTTATAAAACTGTGATTGACTCCAACATTGAAACTGGAACAGCATTTGTGAACCAAACCCTAGGGAATCAGCATGTGGTGGGGTACCCAGACCACAGTATCACAATGATTCTGACATATTGGTGGCTTAGAGAGGTTCTGTTTGTCAGAACAATCCAGGATATTAARTGCCATTTTTACTGAGTAACAATTGTTAACATCAGTAACTTGCAACAGTGGATTTCTAATAGAGGATGAAAGCTGACCATGCATCATTGATGTCGGTTATGGTAATCATTTTTATATCCAAATCTTGCCCGTTTCAGTGAGTCTTAGCGATGCATTAAGATGTTTTATGGGGATGTATAAAGGACTGTTCTTTGCCAGTCTCTGGAYTATGTCCAGCAGCTTAATTCAAGGAGGCACAACTCAACCACCCTTCATCTTTTTGGCTTTGACTTGCCATGAAAGATGAAGAACAGCAGCTTGGTCATGCATTTCATCTCCTAGTGCCCAAATCCAGCCCTGCTGTAAAGAAATGCTATAGAGTGTATGAGATTTTCTATTTTTACTGTTAGAGGCTGCTGTGGCCTTCCCACTGTGGAGGCAGCCACATGCTGCCCTTCTGTGCCACATCACTGGCAAGGGACAGYACAGAGGAGATACTGCAAGGCTCCTGCCACCCTTCTGGGTCTCAACAGCTGTGATTCTCATRTAGGACCCAAACCCAAAATCTCAGAATATCTGGTACTCTACTGGCGTCCTGACAGCCCTGGAGCCCTCTGCTACATCCCTGTATGTCCTCCAGAGCTGTTACTTCAGCAGTGCCTTGGCTTCCCTTCTGTCCCAAATGTCAAGTTCTGATCCATATACTTAAGTGCAAAGACCAGTTAAACAATTAATTCAGTAATAGTTATGGTGACATCTTCCTGATGATACCAATAATGTAGTTGTCTGTAAGTTTACAATTGCACACATATCATTTCTACACTTGCCAAGTTACTGAATTATACTGAACAAGGTTGCTGCACTGGAGAAAGCCCCAAACCCAGTAGATAGCTAGCAAGGAGACCATCAGAACAAAGCCACTTGCAGATTCGTTCAGGTCAAAGTCCTATGACTCAACAGAACTGTTAAATTCGGATTTCATAGATGTTTTCTGTTGGAACTGAGCTTCTGGTGGAACTTTTTAAGACTCATTTTGATGGAATGAAAGACTGATTTATTTTTTTTTTAAATAATGCAAGATGTATTTTTATTTTTCTCACAAAGTTCTCTCAGTAGTTTCTTACAAGTTACTTGATAATAAAGCTGAGTGGTAAGTTACAGACAAAAATGTGTGGATTCTGTTTTACCATCAAACTTTATCTGTATTTCTTCTAGTGTATAGAAAGGCTGTCTAAATGGTAAAATTGCTGCATACCAGGTTTCAAAAAATATATTCCTATTAAAAAATTGTTTAAAGATTAATATATCCGTGACCATCAGTAAGATATTTTTCCAGTTCAGAGACTGAATACAATTTAAAAAAAAAATGAGTGTGTGGTTACACAAGTTTTTCATAGAGATTTTGGATCAGTTTGAATTAAATTATGCATATCTTAATTTCTTTTCTAATTATTTCCTTAAGAAATATGCCTTTTATGTAACTTCACTCCCTAAATACCTCTAAAAATGAGATATTCCTCTGGGGAATGTGTTAGTAATTCTGTCTGTATTTCCCAGGAAATGTCAGGGGGAACAAATGGTCAATGCACGACCTTGAAGGTCAAGAGATTCGGAGTCTGACAGGTTGCATCCAGAAACATAYATTGCCCAGCTGATGACCCTTTGCTGAGATTATTTTTGTACACAGTCCCATCTGCCATGAGTGAAACTGGGCTGTTCCAGTTTCTTGGGTGGCGTTTTGGTGTTTTGAAGTTTGAGTTGAATGTTCCATTGTGATGCGGGAAAACTCACTTGAAGATTGATAAGACTCATGTAAAGTGCAGTTGGAAGCACAACATTTACTTGTGCAGGTTTTGAGGTACCATTCCTGCTCCTTGCCCAGGAGATGTTGCTGTATCCTGCAGCAGCTGAAACTATCATGTGTTTGAAAGTTCAGCCCCATACAAAGTGCAAAGAGGAAGCTGGCAAATCAGAAGACCAAACTGCAAAGAATGTGACACAAATTCTGACTGAGCCTGAATTGGTCAGAGTGGCTGRAGATTTGTAAATGTCCTCAGACCTTTGATGGAGGGTTTAAAGTGCGTACCTTAAACTGGAGCTTTATGGATTGTGAAGCCTAAATAATCCCACAGTTATTTCCAGCTATAATAACCAGCTGGATACCAGTTATTCAACAGTAATCAGCATTTAACATTGTACAAAGTGATCTTCAGTCCTACTTCATGTGTTGTTACATGAAATTTCTCTTTAAAGTGGAAGCTTCTGAATATTTTATATACTCTCTGTTAATGTACTTGGTTGTTTAGATTAAGCATATTACCAAAATTAATGTATGTGAAAGGATATTAACCTCCAACTAAGTATTTKTTTTATGTCTTCATAGGTTTCCCCTGATTTACAGAATGAAGTGCTTATTAGCTTATTAGAGACTGACCCAGATGTTGTAGACTATTTGCTGAGGAGGAAAGCTTCCCAGTCATCGTGAGTAATATGTTTTTTCATCATCCCTTTTTCTGCTGGGAATTTCTATCTCCCACTGGAAGTGTTCAAAGGTTCTAGTTTTCCACAGCTCTTCTGCACTGTCTACAGTGGAGTAGAAGTATCCTCCCTATTACACAGACTCTGCCAAAGAAATTATGACTCTTGTACAGCATTTTCTAAAGACCAAACTTGTTTCCCTGATTTAGAGGAAAGATTGTGTTCTGCTGCCGAGAACRGAATGACATGTACATAAAAATACTCAGTGCACTATTATCTGACAGGATGTATTTTAGTGATCTGCTGGTTCATGTCTTGGGTTTATTGTAGTCTTCAGTAAAACAGGAGGCATGTATTCCACTGTCCTTCAAACACACCCTAGAGTGCCTTAACACCATCACAGCGAGATGTTTGACCACTCTGTCATTCCTGTCCTGTCCTCTACATGTAGGACATTGTGAACAAGCCAACTGCCACAGCAGCAGCCCTGTGGAGACTTTGGATATTACTTAATTGTATGCTTTGTGAAAGACCTGAAGAGAAAAAATACATCACACTGGTCACTATACATAACATATTCTGACTTTGTGTATGGTGTATATATGCCTGCACCCTTGTGCCTTAATGCTATGAGTTTGTACATTCTGATTAACAGGATTCCTGGCTTTCTCATGGGACTACACAGTCATTGTCTTTGTTCTAGTGAATCCCAATATGTCAGACCCAAATATCACAAAATTTGACTGACTTGCTTTAAGTAGTTTCTAAGAGGGTTTTTAGACTCTAAACTCTCTGGGACATATTGGACTTTGTCTTCCTRTGTTTGTGGAAAGTGCCTAGTGCATTTGGAATATAATTTAAATTGAATTTGTACAGTCAGTTAGCTATGATTTTTTATTTCTCCCTCTTAACATTGTATAGCTGGAGGTAATGTAATAGTGTGTCTGGCTTTCAGGGAAGAGGTGTGCAAGAAACAATGTAACTAACACCTTGAGGAAAAAGCTTTCTTTAATTATAAAATTTGGAAACAAAAATATGTGCAGAATATATTGTGTTGTAAAGGTTTTTATTAGTTTKCTAACTTAACCACATGAACAGATAACACGTAGTAGCAAATTATCACAGATCATCTGTGATTTGGGGTCATTTTCTCTGTGTGAAATAATTTCAGCTAGTATATCTGACAAGTAAACRTGTGTTTATTTAGATCACAGTAAGTGCAGGATAGTTAGAGATACAGAAGCTGTTTTAGACTTGTTTCACATTTGCCAGAAGCCAAGACTACAATTAGGAGAGACACTGCAAAGCACATTATATAAGGTAGTGTGTAGAGACTTCTTCCTTTCAGCCCTGAGTTTGGAATAATCATATTATTTTTAAGTCAAGCTAATAAAAGCCTTCATGCTGGATTTCACCCTCTGTATAATAAAACGACATCAAATTTTATCTCACATGTGACTACATRTACCAATTGTGCATAAGTTAGTCACAAATCATTGTGGATGTAACAGATTATTGTTAAATCCTATTGTCTTAATTGACTTTTTCTTGAACTTCCTTACTTTTAGCCAGCATGCACACCTACAGGAGAAAATACATCTTTTGTGGAAAGCTGGTCACAACTGACAAAAAGCATTTTGTAAGGAAAGCCAAACGAAGGCATATAGCTACACTAGTACTAATTTATTGTTGTCAGTAATGGGCAGATGAAATATCACTGAGGTAGGAAAAAAATTACTGTCACTGTTTTTCTACTCTGCTGTCATGTGATTTATTTTTAATATTAATGAGATAGGTTTTCTCTGTGGTTGCAACTTCTTGATTAAGATATTCCAGGCAATTGAAGGGAATGTTACTTAGTGTTATTGCTAGGAGTGTGATGCTCTTAAGASATTAATGTATTTCAGAACATAATCTCAATTTTGAGCCTACAAATTTGTTGCTTATTTTTCCTGTAAGAAATGTGAGACAGCAGACAACAAGGAGATGCTTGTCTTGATTTTGTAAAAAGGAGGCTCCAAAATACATCCTTACTGCTCTTGGAAATGGCCTGGTCACATACTCAAGATACAAATGTGGATCTGTGGAACAAAAAACTTTACATATTCTTGAGACAGTCTTCATAAGGAGGGCTAGTTGGCTGCATAGAGTATAAAATCAACTTCAAGACTTTAATGTCACATTAATTGCTTTGAAGGTCTTGCTTCTGCAATTGTCCTCACATTTCTGCTCTTGCTGTCATTATAAATGCTTTCTTGGCTCTGATGTAACAGAGAAAACACAATCGCTTTTCGTCCCCAAAGAATGACAAATCAGATGTTCCTTGTCTTTCAGTTCTCTTAAGAGCTGAGCATTGTGAGCAGTGTGTCAGGGAATTTATGGAAGTTGTTCATGGTAAAGCACTAATTACAAATGGCAGCAATTGTGAAGTGTGCTTTTGTGGGTGACTTCCCAGTTTTTTGTATGTTGGCTTGATGACAATGGAATTTTGGTTTACAGCTGTAAGATGAAGCATCTTTRAACTAACAAAAAATAAAATCTATTTCTTATGATTATTTATTGCATATCATGGTTAGTAGTCCTTTTAGAGTAAATAAGTTCTAAAGTTACAGATTTTTTTTTATATTTTTGGGTTATGATGATGAGTTTTAATCCATCCTGACCTGTGGCACAAAGATGAAGCCATACAGCAGGTCAACACAGTATGTGTAAATGCAGTTTTTAAAGTTGTGGTAGCAACCACATCATAATCCCACAGTAATCTGTCTTGTTGGTAGCACCTGTGTTTCTCAAATTATGTGTGGAAATTACTACTGTGTGCTGCCAAGCCATCACACTCCATATGATTTGTTTCTTGAAGGTGTAATTGTTTTCCCACAATTTAAGTTAAGCTTTAAGTTATAACAGAAAAGGGTTTCTGCCAGAAAGAGAAAGAGATTTCCTGTTTTGATGACCTTGATGCTAGTAGAAAAGTACAAATATCCTCAGTAGAAGTAATTACTAACACATTTCCAGTTCCCCTGTGCAAGTGGCCTCTGGTGGATAACATTAATTCATAGAAAGATACCTATTGTTTTGGAATCTGAAATTCTGTTTATAAATTCATGTGGCATAGGTTCCTTGTGCTGCTTTCAAATCTTTCCATTTGTTCTTAGCCACTTCAAAAATCTTTTCCTTAACATAGTTCATAATCACTGAAAAATACTTTACTTGCYTTCCCATTCCTCACATTTGATTGCATATAATCATCTATTATTCTTCGTGAGGACCATATTCTGCCCTTCCTCATATACTGCATATAAACGCATGGGTATCTTGCACAGTATTTATGTTTGCCTCCCAATTCAGTTTTTCCCCAGTGTGTGGGTAGAGAATTTCACTATCCAAGGGACAAAGAATTTTGAATTGTAGTCAACATCTGTTTGCTAATGAATTCAAACAGTAAAGCAAACAGATGCAAAACTTTTGTTTTAAGGARTTTGTGAGAAGTTCTTTATTTGCAAAGAAGCAAACTTCTTGCAAATTGTGTTTTATTTTGTTCATGAAGAGCACGAAAAAGCTGCACACTTATGAGTTCAATTTCCAGCTTTTAAGTATCCAATCCATTTTGATGGTTTCTCATWGTAAGATTGACAGTCCACAGCAGTTCCTTTGATTTTTACAGCTATTTTACCTAATTTTWCAGTGATATTATATATGTATGTATAAAGTAGTATGGGCTTACCAGCAGAAAGTGTAAATCAGTTTAGAAACTTGAATGTTTGAATCTTTCCAAAGACTTGGAAGTTTCCATTCAGGTAAATTTTTAGCAGGACCTCTGTCTTGAGAAGAGGTAGAGTATAACAGATCATTCAAGGTAAGACATGAAATCAGTGTTTCACAAAGCTCAAGTTTATGTTCCCACATTCTTTCATTTCCATTTCTATTTCCCTTATTCCTTTTGTTACCTTGCCRTGGCTAAGTGCTGGTTTAGTTCTGTCTTTGCCCTGTGCAGCACTGTWAGGTTTGGATGCTGCAAAGATTTACRTGCAATAAACCTCACTGGTGTCACMATTAGKGATAARCTTGTCTGTGTGCTGGCAGGTGAGRCTTAGAAAAGAAAGTCTAGAAAGCTGGAGAGAAAGGCATTTGAYCATAGGGAGCCTGCAGATATGGACATTTTTCCCCTTTTCTAAGACATCTTTCTAGTTCATCTGAAAATCCCAAGATATTGCTTGAATCTCATATCACTGCACAAGGGTTTTTAGGACTTAGGAGGGCAGAAGGAAAGAAGCAGGTGGCAAAAAAAAAAGAGAAAAAAGGTTTGTGATAGAAGTATACATACATAAAAGACTATAATTTTTCAGTGTGTCTGTTTATAGATTAATTTACTTTGGAATCATTTTCAGATAAGAAGTTTAGATGAGAAGTTATGTAATTGAAGCTTTTTGGTTTTGGTTGTTGTTTTTGGTTTTTTTTTTGACTCCCCAGCATTACTGTGCTGTGCTGGGAAGCCTGGGACAGCAACTTTGCCAAATGACAACTCTGGGTTTTGAGTTTTCCTCAGTTAAAGTCCAGTGATGGTTTTGTCAATGAAAGTTACTGAGGAGTAACATTATTTAATTAATTCCCAAAACTTTATGGTTGCTTACATACTGAAAAAAATAGGAATATTGAGTAACATAATCGTCATGCTGTGGAGTATRTATATATTATTTTTTGGGACATGCAATAGGTAAATCAGCCAGGAGAAAAAACCRAGAGCTTGAAAGTGGTGCTAAGTTTTGTCATTATTTCTGTATTAATATTTACTGTGCTGTGGATAGCTGTGTGTTTTCTTCATTTCCTTTCTTCAGGTTTATTTCATTTTTCTGGAAACAGGGTTGTTGTTCCATAGGAGAAATTAGTTTTGGTTACTCACTAAAATCAAGCTGTCTTTGGATTTGACTCTGAGAAAGGCTGACCATTTTCAGACAGTTACAGGAATAAGCCTCTGTTGTATCACATTCAGTTATAATAGATATTAAGAAGAGGTTGCTGAAATAAGTGTTTGACTCAAGAGAAGCAAAAGATAAGCATCTATGAAACAAAGGTGCAGAGAAATGAAAAATTAGTAATATAGGCAGGAACAACAGGAAAACAAAATTATGTTGTTTACAGAATAGTTCTTTGTGGTATTCAGTGACTCACAGCCTGCCTSCTATCTGCACAGTAAACTGTGACAGTTCAAGAAATCTCTGTCAATGTTCCCGGCACRTTTGAAAAATGAGTTGTCATTTTGAGCTGTGGCTCTTTGGTGGGAGTTGTGTTTGCCTTTTCTTGTCAAAATTAAATTAGTATTGGTGATGGTGCGAAGGGTGAAAGGGTAAAAGAAATTGTAGAGTGCATCAGCAGAACCAGTTGTTTTTTGCCTCGATCATAAGTACAGTAAATGCATCTGTTTGTCCCTGTAGAATATTTACTTTCTTATGTCTCTAGAAGAGGATCATTCTCGTAATGTGAAAGGCAAGCCGATTGCTTGATTTCTCTGTGTAAAACTTAAGAATACGAGAATTTCTTTTAGCATACTGCTTTAACATCAAACTAATCTTCCCTATCATGCCTTAAGCTGAATTGTCAAGGTAACATAAGGAATTGATTCACTGCTTAGTTTCCTGTGGTTTTCTGTACTGTATGGGTTTGTTTTCTTTCTTGACAGCAACATCTTTTGATTTTGAGTGGCCTCTGCTGGCCACTTCATGGCAAAAGTTTTACTCATGGAAAATCCACCTCAGTAACTGTTTTTGAAGTGTTTTCATTTCAGCAGCTGTGACCATTCTCCGTCATTTGATTTTATCTGTGTGATCGCAAATCATGGAATGGTTGGGTTGGAAGGGACCTTAAAAGTCATCTAGTTCCAAAACCCCTGCCATGGGCAGRGACACCTTTCCCTAGACCCCATTGTTCAGAGCCCCATCCAACCTGGCCTTGATGTCAAACTGCACCTGTAACTGTGAACATGAAACATTTTTTTTTTTTATTAACAGTAGTTTGTTTCTCAAAATTTCTCAGGAGCCCTGAGATGCTGCGGTCAGAAGGTTCCTACTCCACAGGAGAAAGACATTCTTCCACAGACTCCAACAAAGCTTCCAGTGGAGATGTTTCCCCTTACGACAACAACTCCCCGGTGCTGTCTGAGCGCTCGCTGGTGGCAATGCCAGAAGAAGTTGCCCGCAGCCCAGATAAGCTGTACAAGGTACCTGAGCAGTACACGCTGGTCGGACACTTGCAGCCTAAGCCAAAGGAGAATTTTTCTGCATCACAGGCTGGAAAAGGTATAGTGCATCCTGCTTGTGCTCCTCCTCCTCAGTGACTGATAAAGATTTCTGAAATAATTGAGAAGTGCCAGGTTTGTATTGTCAGCTACCAGGATTTGAGGAGAAATAGTGTAAATAACCTTATGAAAAGAAAGACAGACCAACATCCTTTTTGTTGCATTGGGCTCAAAGGATCTGTGCTGAGTTCTCCTTATTAGCTCAGCTAACTGTCGGGGGTGCTCTTGGTATGGCACTTCTCAAAACTTGGAGATATTATTTAGGAAAACAGAACTATGTATGTCCAGTTTTCAGCCTGTCTGTGACAGCATGGCAAAGTCTAATCCTGAYCCATGGGACTATAATATCTGCGAGGTTATGGTCCAGACTTTGGAAAAAAGCTGAGATTTTAAGACTTGAGGCTACAAACTTTCTCCAGTTGTAAAGAATGACCTCAACACTCTCTCAGTGCAGAACATAGCTGGTCTGCACAGCTTTACATCTGCAAGCAATTACACACTGAGCAATAGTARTGCAGGGATCCATAATTCCCGTAGCTAACTGGAGAGTACTTASCTGGATGATTTCTTTGGAGAAGCACTGAGTTTTGCGCTAATAGCTCATCAGCACTTCAAGATGCTTTTCCTATAAAAATACATGTATAGAAAAATTGTCAACCATGAAATTCATACTTAGTGAGCCAAATTTTAAGAGCTTTCARTAATACTTAGGGATGCACATAACTGTTTGGTGGTATTTTAAAAATGGTTTCCTTTCAGAGGCATTGAWTTCCCTTTAGATTTAATGGGATTTAGACTATAATCTCAATTATATGCTTTATAAATGCCAGCCAGAATYTATCTTCTGTATTCAGCATCTAAATCTCTGGACAGGTTTTAGAATTTGGGCAGATTTCTATGAAATTATGGATAGGAAATTACATTAAGTTTTATCATATTAACTATCTTTTGGACTATAATATGCATCACAAAGATACTGGACCATTACAAATTAAGAAATTCTTCTACTGACTAGTGGAATCAGAAAAAGGCATGAAACTGTTTATAACCCWGCATTTTATTAAATCTATTCTGTGGCTGCACTTCTGCGTAAGACTGGCAGCATCCTTGGGTTGATAGAGCATGCCTTACAGTTGATCCCTGGGGCTGCTTCAGGGAGCTTTCCCAGAAATTGCCYTTTCTGGACCAGATCCTCCTGGTTCTTGTGCAAATTCTCTGACTCCRGTAAGGCAGAGTCCTTACAGAAATTCAGTAAACTCAGACGCCCTGCCCATAGAGAGCTCACTGATTCCAGTGCAGGATCTGGTCTTGAAATGAGTAGCTGTGAACAAATTCATGGAATCATAGCATGTCAAGGGGTTGGAGTGGACCCTAATGAGCATCAGTCCCAACAYCCCCTCCCACAGGCAGGGACACCTCCCGCTAGACCAGATTGCTCAAGGCCTTATCCAGCCTGGCTGTGAAAACTGCCCGGGTTGGGACATCCACAGCCTCCCTGGGCAAACTKTTCCTGTGCCTTACCAGTAAAAAATGTCTTCCTAATGCCTAACCTAAATTTCCTCTCTTTCAATTTGTGCCCATTACTTCTTGTCCTGTCACTACAGTTCCTGATGGGGAGTTACTTSTTGACTTCCCTRCAGGACCCCCTCAGATACTGAAAGGCTGCTGATATTTCCACACAMCTTTTTCTTCTCCAGGCTGARCAGACCAAATTTTCTCAGTCTGTGTTTTTAGACAAACTGCTCCAATCCTCTTATCAACTTCATGGCTCTCCTCTGCACTTGCTCCAAAAGTTCCCTGTTCTTATGCTGGGGTCACCAGAATTGTACACAGTGCTACTGATGGCGTCTCACATGTGAGATGCTCGTGTTAGGTGCACAGTCCAGATGCTAGTGGATGTTAATACTCTGATATCTTACATAAAGTTTTGCCTTTCTATTTGTATATTTCTAAATAATGTCTTTAAGAGGATCAGTTCACCATCTTCTCTCTGCTCTTACTGCTGTTTAGATGTTTCTGAAGATCGTTTTGATATCTGGGGCACTTGGCATTCAACGCTGAAAAGTGGCTGCAAAGATCCAGCAATGACAGGTCAGTAAGTGCTTGGTTCTAATGYCCAAATCTAGGAAAGACAAAACCAATTTCTTGTTTTCAAGGAATCACAGTGAAACCAGTAGGAGAATTCACATTGTCCAGAGCTGAACTTTTAAAAGGTGATTCTTAAGYAAAATACAGAGGAACACGGCAGTTACGCTTCTCTGTATTCAGTGGAATACAGAGAACAGCAATATTTCAAACTATCAAATATAATTWAAAAAAATAGTTTTAAAATTGCTTGAAGAAATAGTTTTAGTTTCTTACAGAATTCATAGAATCAAAGAACCATTAGGGGTTGGAAGGGACCTTAAAGGTCATCTAGTCCTAACCCCCTTCCTTGGTCCAGGACATCTCCCACTGGACAGAGTCACTCAAGGCCTTATCCAGCCTGACTTTGAACACTGCCAGGGATGGGRCATCCACAGCMTCCCTGAGCAGCATGTTCCAGTGYTTAGCTACCATCATAGTAAAACATTTCTTCCTCATATCTAACCTGAAGTTCCCCTCTTTCAATCTATACCCATTGCCCGTTGTTCTTGTCACTACAGTTCCTGATGAAGTATCCCTCTCTGGCTTCCCTGTCAGCCCCGTTCAGATACTGTGAGGTCTCCATGCAATCTTCCCTTCTCCAGGCTGAACAGCCTCAACTTTCTCAGCCTGTCTCAGCCCCCATCCCTCTTCTACAATGTGATACAAGGGAAAAGCAGTAGCTTGTCCAGTGCCATATGCATGGTTCCACAGACTCACGTTGTGTTTCTGACTCTGTCCCCAGGTTCTTACGGGAACATTTATGAAAGCAGCTTGCTGCGACCCGGACAGTGCTCTCTTTCCCAAGGGAACCTCGCCACGTGTTCCCCGCGGTGGCAGGGCAGCTCCTCGGACCTGGACAGTGGCAGGCAGGCCATGCGAAGGAGCCAGACGACCGCTGCCATTCCCGAGTGCCAGCTCCACCCCGTGTCTCGGCTGTGCAGTAACCCTCACGTTGAAGTGGGCAGCAGGAGTTCAGACCTGTCGCACTCCAGGTCGGARCAGCACTTGACTTTAAGCAGCGTGGAGGACCTCAGTGAGCGCGATTTGAGCGCAGGTTGTTTGCAAAGCACAGCCAAGCCCTGCTACAGGAAAGAGCGGCCACCACCCCCTTACCCTGGCCCGGCAAAAACAAGCTCTGCCTTGCCACAGCGGCCGAGTGTTTCTTCAACGCTGCACTCTTTGTGGAGACTTCAGCGCCCAGACAGCAGTTCAGGGCCAAGAGCAGCTGCAGGGCCACCAGCCAGGGCCCCTGAGCAGGCCACCCCCAGGCAGGAGCAGCCARCCCCGCACACGCAAGCGGGTCACAACTATTCCACAGCACCTCACAGCCACAACAGTAAAGGTGTTTCAGAGGCGGACTGGAACGAGTGGCAAAGGGAGAGGTGGCAGATTTGGGAGCTGTTATCAGCCGATAACCCCGATGCCCTCCCAGAAACCCTTGTATGATCTGACTCTGTGGAACTGCTGCTCATACCCTTGCCTCCGTCTCATAGGAATGCCACGGTGACATTGGAAAACAGGGAGGGCTTGTTTGTTTTATACCGACTGAATTGCATATACTTTTAAAAAACTTTGTTCACTTTAMTTTCTTAACAGCACTGTCAAGCAGTTATTTTACAAATCCAGTACGTTCCTGTTTTTCAGCAAGCTTTTGAGAAAAAACAAGGTGAAAACTTTAGTGTAATAACTCTGTATGCATATGCTGTRTATAAGATAAAACTGTTGCTTTCATGTTGCTAAAAATGTATTTATATATCTGCAGTTTTGATGATTGTATATTCTGTAATGGGTATTGTATGATAATCATGTTATGTTTTCATATGCAGATGTCAATCAATCATGACTGCTTTTTTTAAAATCACTGCACTTACATTACCATGATATGCTTTGGAATTCTATAGAAAGTGCACAAGCTGGTTTCTGTGCTTTTATATATATATAAAAAAAAAAGCTGTTAAAGGGGAAAGTTGTACTTCTTTTCACTGCCTATTGAAAAACACTAAAATAGAGTGAAACATGAAAAGCCATATATTTTATAAGGGTAGTAGTGAGCTTAGRGGGGAAAATACAAAATATTTTTTTCTTAAACATATGTTTGCAAAAAAAATTTAAATTTGATACAAGATTGTAAAAGTATTTTTTTAGATTCTGGTAGGAAGCAACTCAGAGAATCAACTAAGAGCAACATTGTGCCTAAACCAACTAAGGATATCGTGCAAAGTCTGCCCTCCCATTCTAAAAGAAAACCGATGTTATATATGCAGGATATAATATATATATTTATAAGTGTATGATTTTATGTATTGTTTTAAAACAATAAACTGGAATCCAAATTTTAGAAAACCAAACCTAATAAATTGAGATGCGTAACACTGAAAAAGAATATGGCTTTTCCTTTAAAATAACAAAGCTCCAGCATTAAGAAAGAAAGTTAGAGAAAGGAAAAAAATGCAGACAGACACATGAAAGGGAGTCAAACAGAGTTTCAGAAATGAACATGACATTTGGAGAAACTCACAACTGCATTTCTATAAATATTGTGCCAAAGTCTGGGTCAGTCACACTTCCTCAGTAGCTGTATGTTGCATTCTGTTAAATGTTGCTCTTTTATACTCGTTGTTTTTCAATTGCAGTGCCGTTTGTGGGCAGCGGGTGGCAATGTACTGCAGTGTTCCAGAGAAATTCCRTCTTAACACTCCATAAGGGAAAGTGTATCATATCGAAAGAATTTTATAAAACATAGTAGTCTTAATTTTAATGAATTCAGTGATGTTGTCTTTAAGTTCTATCTTGTGCCATAATGATGGAATAAAAAGCTAAGTAAAAGAACGAGCATATTTTTTGCTCCTTTTTGTTTTTTGAAGTAAGGTATATGGGAAATTGATGTGGTTTTAATACATTCTTGAATATCCCTGTCAGAAACATCTAAAAGGCTTAGGAGCTTAAGGACCTTCAACTTAAATATCCAAGAGTCAAGGTTTTACTTTAGTTTGAGGCATAAAATCCATCATATAAAAAGTCTTCCCCTCAAATCTCAATTTCTCATCTTATCTCCTTTTTGCAAGTAAAGTTATAAGATAAAAGCACCAAGCCAAGTAAAAAGGGGTAGGATTTGGTCTTTGACTCTTGTAGCTCTTTTTATTCAGAATAAATATYCTCTTCTGGTAGTTGCAAGGTTTTTCCAAATACCCTCATAATATGAAATTTGATAGGAACGGTTTCTTGGGTGTCCCTTGCACCAGCTCTGTGTCAATTTATTAAAAAAAAAAAAAAAAGGCAGWCCACCCCAAATTAAAGTGACTGTGGAATATAAAAAAAAAGATAAAAAAGAGCTCTTACAAACAATCTTCCCTGATCTTATCTCAGTATCATGCCAGGCTTGATACAGACTTRCTACAGGGCATTAGTTCCTAAGTAGTCCTCGAAACCAGTCACGGTGTAAATTTTGCTGCAGAAGATAATGCTTTCATTAGATGTCATCTCTTTTAAACCCCTTTCTAAATACAGGRGCACCCGCACCTTTTTAGTGAAAGAAGTCTGAGGATTACTCAGCCTCACGAAGAGCTTGCCTTTTGCCTCTACCTCTCCCTGTATGTATTTTTATATAGGTGTGTATTATTATCTATATAGAGTTTATGCTACAAAAGACAAAAACAAAAGATAAGATCACTGCTGAGGGACAACCTTGTGTGCGCACGGTTCAATAGACTGTTGTATGGAAGAAAGGAGATACAAAATTAATTCCAATAATTAAAGTAACACTTGGCAAGATTACATTATTTCTGTCATTTTCATTTGAACAGGGCAGAGCAGAATTATTATAARTAGGTTAAGAATGTAATTTTTAGTTGTACCTCTTTCCAGGCTGAAATCAGTGACACAATTTTTTAATATATTTTTAAAATATATATTTCACGAGAAAGGTAGCCATGAGAAGTTGTTTCTAGTTTTGTTTTGGGTGATAGATCTGTGTGGGATATCCCACTTTAGTTCTCTGKTTTTTTCCTATGACACAAGCTCTTGTGTAACCATAATACTCATTTTAAAAGGAAAGTCCCTACTGTGAGGAAATCAAAGGGTTTTTTCTGACTGTTTCCCTCCGGAGGGGGATTCCTGTCTTAGCAAGGACAGAGTTTCTGCGAGTTGCTCATGGGGGAGGGGTTGTGCTTCTGCTGCAGAAACAAACAAATTCAAGGATTCAGTACAGCTCTAGGTACCAGCCAGATGTACCTAAACATCTGTACAAGACAGAGGAACCTGTCAGCCAAGGGAAAARAAGCACAGACTTTGAAATGCTACTTTAAAGATTACTGTTTCTACCATCTTTTAAAATGAGATGTGGTTGCATTCTTGTCATGCATTTTAAGAGCATGCTCCTCTGCTGAAGGGTCAGTTGCACCTTCTCCCTCTTCCCCAGCTTCCTGTCCCAGCTCATGGGTGCTGGGAGGAATTCTGGAGCTTGTTGATTTGGCTGAAGCTTGTCCTTTGCAAGGAACACTGCCAAGCTGAACCACCTCTGCCCAGACCAGACAGGTTATGGACACAGAAACCGCAGCTTCCAACTGGGAATCACAGATRAATGGCTCCTGCTCCAGTGCTTTGCCTCCCTGGTCAGGAAGGATGATTTCTTACTGTGCCATCTTAGTAGAAATCCAAATTTTGTCTGCTTTGAAAAAGGACTGGTGGGCAACCAAGGCATCCTTCAGAGTATAGAAACTCTCCAGTCGTTATGAGAAAAGATCACCTGAGCCCTGATTACTATCTTCAACTTCACAGAGGTGAATTAGAGTCACCATTCAAAAATAAAGGAGAGAAAGAAGGAAAAAGAGAGGAGAGAGAGAGAG